ATTATTATTATTACACCCAAAAACAAAAACGGGAAAGTACAAAATAAAACAGAGAAAAAAAACCCTTCCTAAAAATATGAATAGAAAAATAATAAACCCCTGAGTAGTACAGGAGGCTGAAAGGGACACAATGAATGTGAATTCCCCATGAAATAAACAAATGTTAAAATATAAAAAAAAAAGATTTATCTACTAATCTATTAAACATACAATTAAATTCTGCATCAAATTAAGAAATGCACAATAAATAATTAAAAGAAATTTTTGTAAATAGATTTGTCTAAGAAATGCAATCATATAGAATAGAATTCAACTTTATTGTCATTCCACTGTCACAAGTACAGAGCAACGAAATGAACTCTCTGCATTTAACCCATCCCCTTGGGGAGCAGTGGGCTGCCATTGTGCAACGCCCGGGGAGCAGTGTGGGGTTAAGGGTCTTGCTCAGGGACCCAGAGTGGCATTCTACGGGAGTGGGGGATCGAAGTCACAACCTTAGGATTCAAAGACCTATGTCCTAACCACTAGGCCTGTGTTTTTCAATCCTGGTCCTCAAGGCACACTGCCCTGCATGTTTTAGATGTTTCCCAGCTTTCACACACCTGTTATCAATTGATAGCAGATTATCAGGCTTTGCTGAACTGCAATCATCTGAATCAGGTGTGCTGAAGCTCAGAAACATCCAAAACATGCAGAGCAGGGTGCCTTGAGGATCAGGGTTGAAAAACACTGCACTAGGCCACCGCTCCCGACAGCAGGGTTCATCAGTTCCAGTGCTTGACGTTCATGGCCTGCATCTTTTTGATGCACATCGGTTCGTTAATCCGGTCATTAGCACGACTCTAAAAAATGTGACTCCATAGTGGCGCTGGACAATATGGCTTTAACATCTTATGATATTTTGTGGCATTATCGTTAAAATTTTAAAACGTTATCGTTAATAAAATGGAGGATAAAAACACTCTCCACTGATTCTTTTAAGTCGTTCTTACATAACTGTTTAGCTGCGAGTGTCTTACACTTTAATCATAGCCCCAAAAACACACAAACTTAAAATAGGGTTTTTCAGGACACCAGTTACACAAAGAAGTGCAATTTATACAACTAAACAGTCCCCAGTAACCCCTTATAATAATTTTTTTTCCAATGCCCAGTTGAAAAATTAATTAAACAATTCAGCCACTTTTTGAGTTTTGTATCATCGATAATTCAAATTTATTGTTAAGTTAATAAATCAAAATGATCATCACTAGAAATGTATCATGAGAACGGAAACGATAAATCCCAACCCTTACTCCATACCCCGGAGGTAATTCAGCCTTTGATCCAGATGCGTGAAGGCAGAGACACTTCTAACTGCTGTGGGACCATTTTTTTAGTTTAGTTTTGAGTTTTTGCCCAAGAGGCAGACATCTTGGCTGCTTTTAAGTCTTGCTTTAGAACCCTTCAATAAAGCTTAGAGTCGCTTAGGTCATTCTGAGTGATCTCTTTAGCTATTCTGCAATAGCCTTAGGAAACTGAAGCATATATTTGTATTCCCTCTTTGTACTTATTTTTTCTTTCCCTTAAAAAGCACGTACGGACCAGTGTTTTGGTTTCCTTAGTTTGACATACGACTTGTAAATTTGAGACAGACAGACTGTCTAAAGGAACCTTATCCGTTTAAATGTGCGCAATGTATTTTGTTGTTGTGACGCAGGCCTATTGTGTATTTCTGTATATTTAGAGTCAAAGTCCAACCATTTTTCAATCCTTAGAAGAGTATTTGTTTTAAGCAGCAACAATATAAAAAAAAACTCAGCTGAAATGCATTTCCAAACGTTCAGTTAAATTAATTCTGACTATAAAATTCAGTTCAAGCTCCTGAGAAACATGTAATTGAATGTAATCTTTTTTGACTTTTTATTTTTGTATCTGTATGCATCAGGGTTGAACTAAGACACAAACACGAGGATGATAAGCAGCATCAAACTCTTCCTCACCTTCATCGTATCAGAAGCTGTTGCTTTGCAGGTGGTATCCAGAAAGTACTTCAGATTAGCACTCATCTGGCTCTTTGGCTGGTTTTTCCTAAAATCCTCTGCAATATATACAAAAAGGAGGAAAAATCTAAATGAATCACAAATGCTGATTTGCTTTTTTTTTTAAAGTTGACAACTTTTCCATTTAATAAATTGATGCATCATATAGAATGGGAGAAGAAAAAGACGCATTGCTTCATTTGTATCTTTTAAATAATTACATCAACTGGACAGCTGTGTTTATCACAACTTATCCAATTTCTGGACACAAATAGCTTTTATAAACAAAGATATAGAATTTTGTCCTGACCCACTGCCGATCTTATCCACTTGTCTTTGACTGTGGCCTTGCTTTTTCCAGGGCCAAGGCGGCCCTGCAACCTCTTGATTTGTCTGGTGATCCCCTGCCGCTTGGTGCTGACCAGGTCCATTGCTGCAGCTGAACTAGGGGTTTTCTGCTTCTTCTTATTCTTTACGCCACTGCCATCTGGGAGAAGACATGGGAACTTAGTGTAGGATGGAAGCTTTTCAAAACGTGCCTTCAATTCTTCTTTTGAGTTTTTGTGGGTTATTTATTGGTCGCACATGTAATCACAAGCTTTATATCACAGAGAAACTTCAGAACAGTAGCAGTCCTGGAAGAAATTTACTCAGGGGGTAGAGGTGGGTCGCAGTTCACAAAATAAAAACCCTGCCTATTTTACCTTCATCATGTTCGCATGATGAAGGTAAAATAAGCAGATAAGGTAATTAGCACTCAGTCTGTGTTGTAGGAGCAGATATGCAAATGGATAGAAGTAATCTCTGTACAGGGTTTTTACTTTCTGTACCTGGATTGCCCACCTCTGCCCAGGGAGGCCAGGCTGGGGCCAATGTGTTTTTAGTGGAGGCACAGAAAAGGATGAAACGAAAACGTATTAAAAGAGCCAGAGAACCAAAGCTCTACTTGTGGATCTGCAATGAAGGAAGTTAAAAAATCCATGTAATTTAGTCCAATTAAAATGGTATGTTATTCCAATAGAATTTTTCTTTTTTGATTAAAAACGTAAATTTTATATACCTAAAATCCCTTACCAAGGCAACTGAAATAATTAGATGCTAAATAGATATATGTACTGAAAGATAAAATAAAGCCCTTCTTTTTATTGGTATGTTAAAACAAATTCTTAATTCGGGAATATTACATATTTTTGACTTGTTCTAAATACTATTACCAGCTTTTTATCAAATCTGAATTATAACTTAAGTAAAACTTATCAATTCACCTGTAACAAGTTATTTTTTTTATTTGAAACAAAACATTTAGAAGATGAAAACTGTGATCCTATCTCAATAAGAATGGAGCTATCACCTTAATTCGAAGGTATAATTAAAACAGAATTGTAAAGAAAAAAGAAATACGACAACTCTGTTCCAGCGCATATCATCATTAATTCTTTTTTTTTTCCCCAATAGCACAATGTTTTCAGTCCAGGGGCCACAACAAGGGCCAGGATTAGTTCTACTGTTGGCCCCTGTCTATAATCACCCATGCCTCAGTTCCCCCACCCCTCTAGACGAAGTTTAAGAATTTTGGACTGATTCATGAACGTTTTTTTATTTTTATTTCATTGAAATTACTCAAATAACCTTAGTACTTAATTCTACTGAAGGCGCGTGCGCTAAATATGAGCTTAAGTTAGCTTAACTGATCTCCACTGAGCTAACAGGCAAAACTGACCTTTAATATCATCGTTTAGCAGCTCCAGACCTCTCCTGATCAACGACACCGACATATTTTCTTAAAAATACACGATTGGCTTCACTGTTTACAATTCAATTCACATCTAAATAAACTCGCATTATCACTAAGAAACTACATGCATGTCGGCCAGGTTCCTTCAGTGCGCTGCTGAAAACAGTCCTGCGGTAAACAGCTGACATATATTTAGTTCCTACCCAACAAATAACAACGCTCCCACCTACCTACTAATAATATTAAGGAAGACATAATAGCATAATATCACTAATGATGCAGAAGCTGTTCCTCACGATTATTCGAAAATGTAAATGAAAAGAGGTGAATACTATGCATAAATCACAGGAATATCAGAATTATAATTAGGTCTACTAATCCAGGTGTATAATTGGGTCAAATTGAAATACTTTTAATGCAGATGTTCTATGCAATGATTAATCTGATTAATATTTTTGTCACCATTTGTTTGGATGAACTTTTTTTAGCTATTAGAATAAATGTAGAACAATGAGCCCTTCACTCTAAGCTGAACTGACGTCTTTGTTTACACTCTGTTACCTTCGATCCCTCTGCTGTGTTCAACCTTTGTGAGGGAAGCCAGCTTTTAATCCACTTTTCTTTTCAGCACCGATCATGGCGCTGCAAGCTGGAGCTCTGATCAGCACTAAATGGCTCGCGGATGCATTGAAGACTCGGGGGAAAATGCGCATCTTGGACAGTTCTTGGTATTTGCCAAAACTGCAGAGAAACGCCAAAAGCGAGTTCCAGTTAAGGCACATTCCAGGGGCAGCTTTCTTTGACATAGACCAATGCTGCGATAAAACTTCTCCTCTGGACCACATGCTGCCGTCTGAGAAAGTTTTCGCAGATTATGTTGGGAATTTAGGAATAGAAAACGACACGCATGTGGTTGTATACGACTGCAGCGATTATGGTGCGTTCTCAGCACCGCGCGTCTGGTGGATGTTCCGGGTGTTTGGCCACAACGCAGTGTCTCTGCTCAATGGGGGGTTCAGGAACTGGGAACTAGAGGGTCGACCTGTGAGTAACAGCTATGTCAGACCCCCTCCCGCCGAGTTTAAGGCCCATTTGAAGAGCTCTGGGATTAAAACCTATGAGGATCTGCTGGATAACCTGGACACTAAGGAGTTCCAGGTGGTGGATGCCAGGCCCGCAGGAAGATTCAGGGGACTGGAGCCTGAACCCAGAGATAGTGAGTAAGATTTTTATCCAAAGTTACTTTTAACTCAGGGAGAGCAGGGCAACAATTTTAAGACAAGGTGACCGTGTCCTCCATTGTCACCTTGGCTTGTTAAATACCAGCTGAGGTGTCAAGTAACAAAGTAAAATACTTCGTTACTTTCATTAAGTACACTTTTTAGGTATATAATCTTTACTCCATTACTTATTTTTCTTCCTACTTCAGACTTCTACTTATTACATTTTCACACAAATATCTGTACTTTCTATTTCTTACATTTTCAATTCAATTCAGTTTATTTATATAGCACCAATTCACAACACATGTCATCTCAAGGCAGTTTACAATTCACCAGATCATACAGTCAAATTGATTAAGAGTTTTTTCTATCTAAGGAAAACCAGTTGATTGCATCGACTCATTGACTCAGATGCAATCCCTCACACTAAGCATGCTTGTAGCGACAGTGGAGAGGAAAAACTCCCTTTTAATAGGAAGAAACATCCTGCAGAACCAGGCTCAGTGTGAGTAGCCATCTCTTATTTAACCCGATATTTGATCAGCTTCTGAGTTTCTCTAAAGTCTAAAAAAAAAAATAAAATACTTCTTCTTCTTCTTCCTCAAAAACATCTTTTTTACAGACTTAAAAACTTATAAAGACGAGGGAAAAAATATTGATACATTAAAATATCACAATATCTTCATATGCTGATATATTGCCATTTAAAAACACCATATCAATCTCTTACTCTTACAAATAAAATATTGCTATATGTCATC